CTAAGCTTGCAAGAAGCACAATCAATATTGACATCATCAAAAAAAGTCAAATTTTTATTACCAAGTAAACCAGATTTAAGCAACAAGTGAAATACATGAGAATTAGGATGACTTAAATGCTTATGCCACACTTGATCATTACATTGAACAACATTTCAAACAATAGAATTTAACAAAGGATAGGAAGGAGATAAAAATATTAGAAAAAGACGTCCCGTTTTAGGTCCCCGTGCGATCGTCTTCCATGACACTTGATCCTGCACAACACAACCAGAATTTGAGAATTGAACATTACAATTATTGTCAACTAATTGACTAACCGATATAAGATTAGTGGATAGATTAGTAGAAATAAAAACAAGTATTTAACGAGGCTGAAATATCACCAACAGTTCGTGATGGATAAGGAATTACCATCGGTTGTGTGAATATGAAGATTTCTTTTATATTTTTAGACATTGGTAAGAGGTAACACAAGTATTGGTCATGGTTTGAAGTACTAGAATCGAAATACCAAGGTTTAGAAATAGAATAGTTATTACCTGAAATCCCTAAAGCGAGAAAAGGCGTAAACTATCATTTGCTGAACCATTTCGGGAGTAATAGAGGACCGACTAGGACTAGGAACATAAGTAGGGGTAGAGGACGTGACGAGTAGAACCGAAGCATTTAAGGAATTAATCGAGATATTGTAGGCTCTAACAGATTTCTTTAGAGGCCAAATGGAGCAATCTTTAATGATATGTCTTGCTTTCTTACAATAATTGTAGAATTTTTTAGTACAATTGGTGGCAATATGCCCAAATTCTCTACAACTATAGCACTTGGACATTATTCATGTCTCTACTTCCTTTAAATCTCCTTTGAGCAAGCATAGACAATAGGAATTGGAGCAGAATTTTGAGTTTTCCGCTCCATGACAGCTTGAGTAATAAGCCTATGTTCTTCCCTTAAAAGTTTATCGAGAAAAATCTCCAAACAAGGAACTGGATCTCTCGTTCATTAAATTGGATCCGATTCCTTCAAAATCTCCCCTTAATTTCATCAAAAACTAATCTCTCTTGTTGGTCTCATGTATACTTTTGGACAATAAAGAGTCTTTCAAAAGTTACATTTGCATACACAATATTAGTGTATTCAGCCCAGAGATTATGAAAGGAAGAGTAAAAATCTTGGATCGACATGTTGCCTTAAACGAGAGTGCCTAGCTCAAGTTCCAACCGAAACCTTCGTGCTCGTGTTGCTCTAGTTATAAACTTTCTTCAAGTAACTCTACATTTCTTTGGAATTTTTATAAGGCTTGAGGTTGAGAAGAATGGATGGCTCGACACTTTCAAGAATCCAAGACATAATCCGAGTATCCTTCACCTCCCATTTCACATACTTTTCCTTCTCCTTTTCTCTATTAGGTGCAATATTCGTCCCATCAATATGACCTCATAATTCCTTTCCCTTGACAAAGATCTAGAATTGAAATTCCTAGGTCTAATAATTCTTGCCATTAAATCGAACACAAAAATGCTCAAATCATTCAAAAGACATGATTTAAGTAAAAAAAAAAAGAGGGCTAAGATATCAAATTAGATAATTGAAATCTAAATAGCAAGACAAGAATACTAAGATCATAAAACTAGGCAACAAGATGAAACAAAGTTAGAAACCCGGCTCGATACCATGACAAATTAAAGAGCTTTTCCGAAAAGTTTTGTGTTTCTCTCTTGACAAATTTACAATATATATAGATATTAAGAGTACATCAAATCCCTACAATTTAGGACCTAATTACAGCGAGAAAACATATACAATCAAATAAAGATCCTAAAGTAGAAATCAAGGAATTTTCTACACATTCCTTACTTAGCATATTCTCCTAATTAATGATAATATGATAATATGGAAGGAATAATAAATGAGAATAATCTATTGACACTTGTATGTCTACGGGCTCATCATTCGGGATGTTTGATTGATTTTGTGCCTTGAGAACGATAAACTCTCTATCATTTTGATGATTCTTTCTCCTTGTGTAAACTATAAACTCGGGTTCTTGTCCTTTAGGATATCCATTAATATTTACCATCCCGTGGAATTTTCAACATTTTCTAGCTCTATAATATTAAGAACAACCAATTTTTTAAGATTTTCGGGAGAATCTACGGTTTTAGGCAAGAGAGTGTGATTCACTTCTCGAAATTTTCTTCGGCTTGTTTCTCCCTTCGAAGAAAATTTCCCCGAAAAAAAGGTCGATGTTCAAGGAAGGAGACATTCATAGTGATAAAAGATTTTTTGGGTGTTAGGATTAAAACATTTGTACCCTTGTTTGTTTGGGGCATAGCCTATAAAGACATATTTTTCTCGCCTTGGGATCTAGTTTGGACCATCCCTTAATAGGTAAACGGACATAAGCAATGCACCCAAAAACTCTTAGTGGTAAATCGGAATAGATTTGGGCTTCATAAAAAAAATTTTAAAGCACCTAAGGGGTGTACTATAATTAAGAACCCGAGTAGGCATCCTATTTATCAAATAGGATGCTATTAAAACAGACTTCTCCCTAAAGAAATTTGGAAACATTTTTAGAAAACATAATGGCACGACGCACGAAACACTTCTAGCAAATGTTTGTTTTTCCTTGAAGGTAATACAAGTAGATTGATGTTGAATGCCCTTGTGCTTTAAAAAATGACCAATAATCTCATTAAAATATTCGAGTGCTATTATCAATGTGGAGAATGCCAATTTTTTGTTGAAATTGGTTTTCAATCGTTGTATAAAAAATTTTACATAAGGTTTCAACTTTTGATTTTTCACTCATCAAGTAAACCCAACATAGACAAATATGATCATCAATAAATGTCACAAATCATTTTTTTCTCAAAACCGTGCTAATTCGCAAAGGACCCCAAACATCACTATGGATAAGATAAAATGGTTTTGAAGGTTTATAAGGTTGTGAGGGATAAACGGATTTATGACTTTTTGACAAAATACAACTTTCACAATGAAATGTTGAACAATCCAATCCTCGAAATAACATAGAAAAGTTTTTTCAAATACAAAAATACTAGGATGTCTAAACCTATAATGCCAAATTATAATTTGATCCGTAATAGAAAGGGAACCGATACTACTTAAGCCTTGAGATTTTTTACCCATGGAATCTTCATCATCAAAATAATAAAGACCATCTATCATTCTAAGCATCGCTAGTCATCCTTCCCGAACTCCGGTCCCGAAACACACTATGAGAATCAAAGAAAGTAACTTGACGAGTTAGAATCTTTAGACAATTTGCTAACAAATAGAAGATTACAAGTAAGTTTAGGCAAATGGAGAACTGATTTAAGGAACAAAGTATTAGATAAGGTTACCAAACCTTTACTAGTAATAGGAGAATATGATCCATCTCGCTATACGGACTTTTTCATCATCGAACAAGGGTTATAAGTATGAAACAAATTTGAAAGACTTGTCATATGATTAGAAGCTCCCGAATCAATAATCCGAGGAGTAGAAAAAGAATGACATACTAAGGCATTAGGATTACTATCCGAATGTGCCAAAGAAGCATTAGGTGCACCTAACGAGTCCGTAACTAGATTTCAACGAGTTTTAGGATGCGATTCAATTGCTCTTTACCGAAAGGGACGAGTCTCGGTTTTATGAGCATAGGCTGGCCAACCCTTGCTCTCATTTTTTCCTTTCCAATTTTCCGGTTTTTCATGCAACTTCCAACAGGTTTCATGTGTGTGCTTTGGCTTATTGCAATAGTCACACCACACAAGGGATTTTTCCTCTAATCTCCCTTGAACCATTCGGCCAGACATAAGCCTTTGTATCAAGGGCTGAATTCTCTACCTGTTTTGTTAGGTTTTTTCTTCCCTAACATCATAAGTCTATGGCCTTCTTGCCTCTCGAACTTCGAAAACACTTCTCTAATGGAGGGAAGTGGTTGTCTACCAATAACTCGTACCTAACTTCATCAAACTCAACATTTAATCCAATAAGAAACTTAAATATACAATTATCCTTCACTTTTTTCTTATAGTGGTGGTAATCTTCCGATGATTTTCACTCATAATCATCACTCGAATAAGTCTAAATCTTGCCACATACATTTCAAATAATTTAAGTATTTTGTAACACTTTTCTCACCTTGGCGGATTTCTCCAAGTTTCGATGAAACACTTGAGACCGATTGCCCAAGTCCGAATACATAAGATTAATAGTGCCTCACGACTCCTCGGAAGTTTGGTATTGCATATAATTGGAGCTATTTTCCTCCTCCATAGAATTCATAAACCTAGTCATTACCATAGAATTTTCAGCATCCCAAGTGGAGTAACCCGGATCCTCGGGGGCAAGTTCCTTCTTTTCTCCCATGAGGTAGCCAATTTTCCCTTTCCCACAAATATACATTTGCACTCGATTGAGACCAGCAGCAGAAAATTTTCTCCATTCGGTCGTATGGTTGTAATCTGGACCGAATAGGAATATGTAGGTAGATGGGGGGATTGGTTTTTTTTTTTATGGGGCCGTGAATTTCAGATGAGTTTGGTTGAGATTCTGATACAAAATCAAACATGGTGAAGGAAGATGGAGGGTGGATAGACGGCTAGAGGGGCTAGGGTGTATTTTCTGGAATGGATAGGGCTGGAATTCGGGTAGGGTTAGGTTTTTTGCCTATTGCTCTGAAACTAATGTGGAAAATATTCTGCTGTGTTTACTTCTTCTATTTAGATGACATATATATAGGAATACAAAGGTGTCTATACAAGGAAAGAATTCTATACAAATCAAATCTCCTAATTTATATCCCAAATCTGTTAGGAACAGATTTCCTCCTAAGTAGCAGCCCCTTGATCTGGCTGCCACTGATTTCTCTTTCTCAACACCATCTTTGAGCTCTAGCGTGTCCATTTGATGCTTTGTTGTGAAATATACATGATTTTGCTTTTCTGTGATTATAGTTCTTATTCTCTTCTTGTTCAATAACACAGGGTGAACTCTTAACTACTATTGGGTTTTTAAAAGAGGCTCCACAAGTTACTGCCCATGGTTTCAACATCTACCACAAGAACCGTCTTATACGAGTGAGCATCTACTAATTAATTTAATTAGTTTTACCTTTGCATTGTTAGATAATTGAAAGGACCATTTACACTATGGATTCTTCTTGGTCCGGTCCTTTGTGTGCAGTTTTTATGAGTGCTGTAATTACTAGCCATGTTATATTTGGTGGATGTCAGATTTGGGGGTGTAGTTGAAAGATATATACATTATATGCTGTTAGTCACTGTAGATAGATCTGCTAGATATGGCATTTTTATGTCTAACAGCAAAATATTGCCTTTTTATGGAGTACAAGGCCTATTTATTGTGCTTCCGCCTGGCATTTTGGAGGAAGAGAAGGATGTGCAAGTATAAATGCTCATGTGCTTGTGAAGTATTTATGACCTGAGCTGTAGGGAGCAAAACATGCACACCAGTAGGTATTGCACTTGCAGAATTATATGGTAGAAACATCGTTGTTCTGGGGTTTGAATATTTCGAGAATATGAAATCAGTTGAATGTCATGCATTTTAGTAGAGTTTTACAAAAGCAGAATAACTGTACTCCCAAAAGATGATAAGAAGAAGATGTAAGATCATTCCATGGAACCCAGTTAAAAAAAAAAAAAAAAAAAAAAGATCATTCCATGGAGTTAATATATGATTCATGCTGAGAGAATTGGCAAGGATTAAACAGAGGCAAAGCTATACCACATGTCTTACTTAGTATTACATACAAGAACAATTAGATTGTTTGCATGGAAGTTTTGCATGAAGCAATAGACCGCATGTTTTATCTGGGTAAAATAAAAGTTTGGAATCGCAACAACCATTCCATCTCTACACCCCATCCAACCGCACAACAACCCCCTCCCCCGCCCGCCCGCCCGCAAACACCCCACCACCACACACAACCATTCCATCTCTTGACTGGGTTCCCCTAATCCATTTTGTATACCTCCAGAACTATAAGGTTTTTGACCAAACTTCAAATATACCCTCCACCAAGTAATTATATTTCAATTTCATTCTCCATTACGAATTCAACCAAAGTTACCCTCCACCTATCCCAATTGTTACAATTTGTTCTCTCCATTAAAACCTGCTAAATTACCATGCCAAACTGCATCTGAAGAGTACATGCTGTGCTTCCCTCCAACATAACTTGGCAAATGCACATTCTAATTCCTTTTACCGCCAAAATCGTTGCCCTGAAGTGTACCCTTTATAATCCAGCTTCACTGTTAAACAAAATTTTCTTAACAAGTTTGCACCCGGTGGAGAGACTTAACTATAAAGGTTCGAAGGGTGAAAATTTTTGTAGACAATCTTGTTGTGAAGTTGGATTTTGAAGTTGAAATAGATTAAAAACGGAAAACTTTAGGGCAGTGCCTTTTTATGCTAAAAGGAATTGAGTTTGTGTATCTGGCTGGTTGTGCTGGAAAAAAAGTGTAACATGGGTTGAAGTAATTTTACTCTAATTTTTAGTAGTATTCTCATGGAGGAAACAAATGTTTTTTTTTTTTTGGGCGGTGGGGGGAGGGGGCACTGAAACGTGAGCGATTGGTGGAAGGTATTTTTAAGGTTTGTCCAAGGTTTTTGGGTCTACTCAGTCAATAAAATGATAATTGCACAATCTCAAGTTGCCATTGTTGTTAAATCTGCTTACCTGAATATATGGCATTGCTAATATAAATTTTATGCTTTTGTCACATATCTATGATGACTATGCGATGCAAATTATTTAATTTCGACAGGAATTATCATTGCGGTCTAATTGGTTACCAGGTAATAAAAAAGCTTCGACCAACAGAATCTCCACAAGATTCACCTCTTGGCATGTCAACTGGTAGTGACACATTGAATCATGGTATGCCAAATGATGCTATAACAAATCTGACATCAAATCAAAGCCACCCTTGTCTTGTTAGTGCAAAAGCAGCATCTGCTGCAGGTAGGCTGTTTCAATCTGAAGAAATTGTGTGCTTGAATAGAAACTAGATAATTATCATTACTTCTTTGTGCTTGAATGAAACTTAATTGTCATCTTTACTATGCTGTCCATCGTTGGAAATAATGCCTCTTGTTGTCGACAGGATTATCTTCAAAGAGGAAGGAACATAGTGATTTAGACAAACTTGAAAGCGTGAAATGGCAGGCAGGGAGCGGGGACAATGTAACTTTGTTGGGGCACAGTTTTGAAACAGAGGTCTGCAGGGAGAATGGATCTGAACATCTTATTAAAGCCAAACCATTGTGTGCGTGCACATAATCCATATTCTCTTAAAGCTTTGACCTTAGATCATCTCTAGCAAATTCTATTTGTTCTTTGCCTCTGTATTGTGTGGTAACTTATATGTTGCATGGTCCATTCTGTCACTTCCTTGCTTTCTGCTTTAGATTTTGATCTCAGTGTGCAGGTAGGAGAACGATGATATGATTCCCAAGCAGAGAGTTTTAGTATTGTAGCATCTAAGACTGAAGGATGTGGTGATTATTCGGTTGCTTGTCTGCAAAGGCACTAATTTAATAGAAACAGACACATGCATGGATGCACCCACACAAGCACAGAGGGGAACTTGTTTCGTGTTGATGATGGATCCAAGCCCTTTGGCAATATAATAAATTCAATCCCTTTTCATTAATTTTTTTTTTTTTTCAATTTGATTGCTGCCAAATGAAAGGTATATCTCATATTTTGCACCCAAAAGATATTTTCTCATTATATTTAACCCTCAAAGGATGGAATGTTTCCTTCCTTCTCTAAAAAGAAAGATAAACGTGGTTCTTTGTTGAAAACATTTTAATTTGATCCACAAGAAGATAGATAGTTATTAATTTTAGTCTCTAAAAGAAATTCTTTAACATATATGAATGTCAGTCTCTATTATGCTGAAGAAAATAATTTCTTGCCCCCCAACAACTGGCATTTAATTGTGGATCTGTCATTGTTTAGTATGGGATTGCTTTCATTATGCAGCCTTCTTCTTAGCCCGAATAAGTGATCTCATTAAGCCATTGTTGCAATTCATTTGCTTGTTCTGATATATTCATTTGATGGCATTTTGTCATCTCATTTTCTTCAAAGAAATCTGTCACTAATTTGGTTTGCAATGTTTTGTAGGCTATCAGTGATATTGCAAATCAGCTGGAAGATCCGGATGTTGTGAACTTGATAAAAGAAAACAATAATTTTCGTGCAAAGTAAGTGTGCATGAACATTCCTCTTACAGAGTCATTTGCAGCTTTCATTATGAATTAGCTTGAGCTAATTTCATGATTGATTGGATTGAGTATATTGCTATTTCATGCTTTGAGATACTCTGTCATGAAGTTAATATTAGACTAGCACGGAGCGAACACTTGTATAACATCATAATGCATTAACAGGAGAATTTACTACTGACTATAAGTATTTTCCCCACATTAGGGGAGCTTGGGTTGTTTTAAACATGATCTTTAAAATATTGACTTGTGTTTTACGTTTCAGATGCTTGGAATACAAGAAGAGGAGGGAAGTCCCTGATTTGAAGGTACATAGTATGGCACTGTTACCTGCACATTCCATTATTTCCTTCTGCCTTTTTTAAGTTACTATCTTTATGTCTTTACTTGGGCCATCTTGTTTGTATGCTTGCCACACTTGACTCTTGGCATCTTATTGGAGATATCATAGGACTTACACCACACGTACAAGTGTATGCTCGTCTTGTATGTATTGGTCAGTGCTTGGTCATGAATTGACATTTTGACCCCATCATTCTGATTATCAAGGAAAAAAAATGATTACATTGACATGCTTATGAATAATACAATAGGATGGAATTAAGATTGATGATCTTGAGATGGGTTTTGGAAGGGATAAAGATTGTAAGATTTGGTGCATTTGTTGGATAGAGAAGAATTCAAGGATTTCAAATAATCACCTCCCAAAACAGTTTTTGTAGGATAGGGTAGTCTTCTTGGCTTTATTTCTATGCTGTCAAACTGCATGGCCTTCGCAGGCACTTCCTTGTTAATATATGAAGGGATTGGAGTGCTTTGTTCTTTGACCCTTGATTGTTCTTTCTTTTCATCATGGCTTATTCTCCAATTTTGTACTATTCATTCCCATTTCTCTAAGAAATCCCCCCCCCTCTCTGAAAATAAATAAATAAATTAGGTTGTTTTTTGCCACTTCCAGAACCCCCACACTTTTGCATGCTTTTTAACTAAACTCTTGCTGTAATTGTGACAGCCAGCAATCACAAAGTTTATGCAAGTTGACTCCCTTTGGGTGTCCAAAAAACGATGATAGTGGTAATAAAACGAATTTAAATTGAATCTTGCACATAAAGCTTGCGTTGGGTTATTGTATTGCATGTGTGGGGCTGGAGACGAGCCTCGTTATGAATTGGGCTAACGTAAGGAACAGCAGGAGGGGCATGTTCTTTGTTGATTGGCATGCTCTTTTCCATTTTCTTAACAAACCTTTCTCCTTTTGTTTTATGAAAAATAGATGAATAAAATAGGTAGTGGTTTTTTTTCCACTTCCAGAACTCCCCTAAACTCTTGCTGCTTTTTATTTGTTCTGATGGCACACTAAACTCTTGCCGTTTTTTATTTGTTCTGATGGCACACTAAACTCTTGGTATACGTGTGACAGCATCAGTAATCACAGTTGATTTCCATTTGGTGTCCAAAAGATGCAAGTAGAAATAAATCAAATCTAAATTGAATCTTGCACACATGGCTTGCATTGGGAATGAAAAGAGCTATTTCAAGTATTCTATGAGCTCTGATGAGAGTCGCCATTCTTATTGATGCAGTTGACATGGCTAAGAAGTGAACTGGGACAAGTTCAAAGAGAGTATGATCGGCTTATGGCTGAATTAAGGTCATAAGATGAGTCAAGAAAGAAAAAGCATGTAAAGATATAGATTTTGGTGCTAACTAGCCTTTTATTTTGCAAAAATCATTCTCAACAGAGAGAATATTTGGGTCAATTAGCTCAAGCATTCCTATACTTTTTTGTTTTTCTTAATTGCGTTCTCCATCAATCAATCTGTTGATTTAGCCTTTCAAGCCAAGTTTTGTTGCTTATTAATCTTGTTTGTTCATCCGTATTCATGTGTTAAATGGTGGCATTAACATACATATAGGTCTCACCATTCTATGTCTCCTTTAATAGGATTAGCTGGTTTTTATATATTTCTTTATAATTTTGAAAAGAAAAAAAAGGGATGAAATTTGAAATTATTTTTATTTTTTTTAAAATCATAATAATGAGAATTATTGAAAAAATAAATAAATAAATATAATTGACCCACCATTCAAGTTCTCAATTGAACTAATGAATAGTAATAATTATTTAACACGTATACGTATATATTAAAATTAAATGGACACAACATACAGGATGAATCATCACAACCATTCGAAGATTAGTTAAAGCAAATTTCCACAATTAATATTAATAAATTTTTATATTACACCAAGTTTTTTTAAATTATTTAAAATATGTGAATCTATTATGTAAACTTACTCGCATCAAAGCACAAATACTGTGCTAATAATTCACTAAAATAAAATAAAATAAATAAGGGCGTCAAAATTGAATCAAACCCCAATTGGGGCTACCCATGAACCATTCGAAGTTTTCAAATGATGGCTGATTTTAACCACGCCATACAGCCTATATAATTTTCTCTGCATGTATTTATCTTTCGCTTGCTTTTCTATGTTTATCACAGATTAACCTCCTAGGAAGCTAAGAATTCAGAGGAAAGGAATCATTTAATAAAGGAGCTGATCATGGAACTGCTAATCCAAAAAAGACGAAGAAATAACGATTGTGCTTCTAGTCGATTCTATGAAGACCAAAAAAAAACGAGACGGGCGCCCCGCCTCGATTCCCAGTCAATTCGGAGAATCCCTACTTTGACTAAGGCGGGGCAGGGTGGGGCAATCTTGGGTCGAGTCAAATTGTCATTTCTAATCATTAAGAGGTATATATTTAATTTATCACGTACTTTAAATCTAATTATACATATATACATTTGAAAAACTCAAATGATTTAATATATAGAATCTAATGGTCTAATATATATTGCTTGAAAAGTTTAAATTTTATTATTATGTTTTTTATTTAAATTTTATTATTATATTTTATTTTTATTTCCTAATATTATTATTATACTTTGCATTATAGAATCTTTATCCTATCAAATGTCACAAAACTTGTTTTTATGGTCCTTGACATTTCAAAGAAGAATTATTGATCATGAATGTTTGATGCTTGGTAAATATTTTCTACTTTTCATATCTCGAATATGCTCATATGGTAGCATATCGAGAAAAAGAGTTTAAGAAATATTCTGAATTGATTTCATACTTGCTTATGGCTAAATAAAATAACAAGTTATTGATGAAAAAAAAATCACATTCAACTAGATCTACTTCATTTTCTAAAGTAAATGTGACAACTTATAATAATTTTAGGTACAAATGAAGACATGGTCATAGCCATAAATATGGTTGGAATAATTATCATTATAATCGTGATGACTATAATAATATATCTCATTACAAAAAGTGGATAAACTCTGGAAAAAAAAACAAGAAAAGAATAAAAATAGATCATGGAAGTATTCTAAACATGAATGTTATAGGTGTGGCATGAATGGATATTGATCGCATACCTATTGTACACCAAAACATCTCATTGAGCCTTATCAAGCCTTGTTGAAAAAGAAAGAGTAAAATACAGAGACCAATTTTATATATCAAAATGATGATAATTGAAATTAATAACTTGTTAGCTTTTCTATTTATAAATAAAATATTTTATATTTTTTTTATAATTTCTATTGCATAGAGATATATATAAATTAATTTTACTATTTATTTATTTTTGTTTACAAAGAATATATATATTTATTTATTTTGTGTTTATTTATTTAATTATTTATTTTATGTTAATATTATATGTGATAATATCAATTTAATAGAGAACGGTAGAAGAGCGACTATATTACTACCCGAAAAGATAAATTTTGAAGGTTCTAAAAGAGCGAATATATTATTACTTGAAGAGACAACTTTTAAAGACTCAAAGAATGAATATATTATTACTTGAAATGAAAGAATTTATAGGCTCCAAAAGGATAAATATATTATTATCTAAAAAGATAAATTTTATTTTAAATGATGCATTATTCTTTCTAAAGTCTCATAGAAATTTTTTGAGTTTCAAAGATATTTAGACATTATATCAAGACAAAAAAAGTGGAAATTATTGAATACTTCAATATTATAATTGCATTGGATAGAAAATATATATTAGAGAAATTACCAATTTTTCTTTTTTGATCTTTAATACAAATATTCAAATGATTGAAACAAATGCTATAATAAACTAAAAGTTACTAATTCAAATACATTTATTATGTGGCATAACTAGTTATGTTATACTTGGGTATTTCATGATATGAAAAAATATTAAAAATACATATAGGCATCTATTAAAGAGTCAAAAGATTCTTCAATCTTATAAATTTTTATGTTACTGTATGTTTTCAAGCCAAACTGATTATTAAGCTATTATCAAGTAAAATTAAGATTGAATCTTCGGTATTTTTAGAATGTATTCAAGGTGATCTATGTGGATCAATTCATCCATTATGTGAATCATTTAGATATTTTATGATTTTAATAGATGCATTCATCGGATGACCACATGTATGCTTATTATCTACTCAAAACCTAGCGCTTTCAAGATTGTTGGCTCAAATAATTCGATTATAAGCAAAATTTCTATATTATGTCATTAGAACAATTCTCCTTGATAATGTTGGTAAATTTATCTTCTAAGTATTAAATGATTATTGATTGGCTATTAGAATAAAGATTGAACAACTTATTGCTCATGTTCATACTCGGAGAGGTTTAGCAAAATCATTTATCAAAAGGCTCTAATTGATAGTTAAATCATTATTTAAAAATAAAACTTTTTGTTTATATTTGAGAACATGCAACAATACTTATTCACATAGGACCCATAAATTATCGAAATTCGCTTTTTTCAATTTGTTTGTGGTCATGAGCCAAATATTTCTTTTCTAAGAATTTTTGGTCGTATATTATATATCCGTAGTGCTTCCCTACAACAAACTAAAATGGACACTTAAAGAAAATTGAGAATATATGTTAGATTTGAATCCTCTTTCATAATTAAATATTTTGAACTATAAACAAGAGATATTTTTACAACTCGATTTACCGATTATCATTTTGATGAAATAATTTTTTCAACATTAGAAGAGATAGAATAAGTAAAATAAGTAGTTGAAAATGGTGGAAAAGAGATTACATGGAGTACTACAAATCATTTTGATTTTCACACAAAATAATGTAAACTAGAAGTTCAAAAGATAATGTATTTATAAAGTATAGTAAATCAAGCGCCGGATGCATTCTCGGATCCAAAAAGAGTAACTAAAATACATGTCTTGGTCGAGAATGCTCATATTAGAATTCATGTCCTAGAAGGATAATCTATTAATCTTATATCAAATGAATCTAAAACACGCTTGAAGCGTAAAAGACCGATCGATTCTAAAGACAAAAATTTCCGAAAGAAAAGGACAAATAATCAAGATGCAAATATTCATAAAACGATTTAAGGTGTTTTTTATAATAGGTTTCCAGAAGAAGTCCAAATGCTTGAGAACAATTAAAAGACTTTGATAAATTATGTCAATATAGGAAAAAAATAGGACAAAAAAATATTTATTGATAACATTTTTACATATAATATTATAATTGATAGTTTGAATGAAAATAAGGATCTTGATCCTAAATTTATTGAAGAATGTTGACATATATATGATTGACCTAAATGAAAAAAACAATCCAGACATAATTATATTCTCTTACAAATGAGTAGTTTTTAAACTTATAGTCAAAACACTTGAAGATGTTAAGCTAGTAGGATACAAATGACTATTTTTTTACGAAAATGAAATAAGAAAGATGTGATTATGAGATATAAAGCAAAACTTGTAATATAAGAGTTTTCGCAAGGACACGACAATGATTATGCGGATATATATTCTACTATAATGGATGTAATTACATTTTTTTATCTCGTTAGCTCTGGTAAAATATATGAAAAACTTCATATGCATGCATTTAATAGATGAGATCACATCGTATTTGTTTAGTTGAAAAAGATATTTATATGAAAATCCTAGAAGGACTTAAGATGCCTAGAGTATACAATATATATTCTCGAGAAATGAATTAAATTAAATTATAAAGATCTCTATTGAGATTATTTTAGTATTTTTTATTATTTTAGTTTTAGAAATTCAATTTATACTATACTTTTTATATTTATTTTTTTATTTTTTAATATTTACTCTTTATTACTAACTCTGTATGTATGTGGTATAATTGTTTTAATAAATATTTATTGAAAGAAGGCAGTAAAAATAACCATATTTGTTTATGTATTTTTATAAACAAATTCGAAAAAAAGGTTTGTGATAATTGTTGCATATGTTGATGATTTAAATATTATTGGAACTCCTAAAGAGATTCAAAGTGTCATGAGTTATCTAAAAAGATAATTTGATGAGAATAGCTTACGAAAATAAAATTTTATCTAGAACTGCAATTCGAGCACTTAGAGAATAATATTTTTATTCATTAATTTATTCATTAGTCAATTTATAAAGAAAAAATTCTATAATTATTCTATATAAAGACCATCTATTGATTAGTCCAATAGTAGTTCGTTCACTTGATATTTAAAAAGATCATTTTTTAAATTTAAGAACATAATAA